TGCTCACAAATCCCTGTGTTCTAAGTATCTGCTGTATAGTGGGCAGTGCGGCTCGCTTTCCAAACCAAGTCAAAGTGAATAAAGTTGCGAAGAATATGAAATCACATCACTGCAAATCCACTAGGGTTTCACTTGTACATCCCACCAGGTAGTCACAACCTCAGTCGACCACCACGACACACTCGTCCTACGCATCACCTACAAATAACAATACAACGTGCTTTGTTTCGTGCAAAGAATGCCAACGTTCTCTGGTAGTGAATTCCATGGCAGCGGTTAGAGTCATGGTGTAGTTTCCATTAGACCATCATTACATGTTGGTAAGAACTCAACGTATTAGCATCCAAGTCCGCTTTCTTACCACACCCGGAAAGCATCATTCCACTGATAAAGTCAGGAGTGAGCACCAATAACGATTACCAAGTGAATGAGAGAGAGAGGGTGGGTGATTTTACTCTAATGTATCAGACAACCATGATAAGAATCCGCTTCGATAAACTCTCAACGAATGACATCAAAGTCCCCTACTCGTTAGCATCATTTATGTTACATTTGGAGTCCGGAAGGAGCATGGAGGGTCAAAATAACTAAGCTACACGGATGCTCCAAGTTTCGATATGCATTTGTGTTGCTACTCCAACAGAATTTTCTCTCCGGTTACTTATTGCAGAGGCCATGCTGTCTGTTGGGTAGCGCGAATGAAGTGCTTTGATGAGTTTTACCTGTTTCTTGGACGCAGTTCTCCCAACCAAAAGGTTCTGAAGAGCCCAAAGATCCACCAAGTATGTGGCAGCTTGCGTGCCGAAGAATGAGACTACAATCGGTAGCTAATATAATGGTCGTGATGCCACAAATTTAGCCTAGTGCAGTTGTATCTATCCAGCCATGATTTCGCTTGTATTCGCAAATCTGACTTCCATTATCATCTGTCAATTGGTAAGAAAAGACGGAGGCAAGTAACACAATTGACTTCAGACTGGTCCTTCCACAACCATTGCGTTTCGTCTTTCGCATGAACATTAGCGTCATGTGACCGTTTGCGTACTGCGGGGTGCCTCCGGCCCCTTTGAGAGCTACTACTGTCAGCTTGGGCTGTGGTTAGAAGTAAGACAAACTTAGTCTGCTGTCCTACAGGTTTGGGGCTGGGAGTGAGATGGCATCCATTTCTGTGAAACCAAATCATGGCCACCTACCCTTCGTCTTACCTACAGGATTTTGAGGCAAATGCTTTGGTTGAGGACCTTAATCAGCTTCCTCTCTACGCCTGAACACAATGACAATGTCTCAGCCCACGTGAATCCATGACTACTTCTTCAGAGTTTAGCCATACCCGGCATCTGTTTTCCCGCAGATTATCAAGGGCCGTCTTGTTTGCTGCATACCACAGGGCGGATTAGTAAAAACATGCTACTGCTGGCACATCCCTTCGTGCATTCCCACCTATTTCTCTTACTTCCCACAACCCCCATTACTAACCTACCTTATACGGTTTCCAGCCTTATTACCAGCAGCCGCAAAGTCACTGGAGTCGAAACCTCTGTAGCTACCATTTCGAGCCCTCCAATGGACGCCTATAGGGAACAGTCGCCTATAAGACCAAGCTGCCCCGTCTCCCTGACGGCGTTCAGCCTTCGTACTCTAAGGTAAATCGGTCAAATGACTGCACTCGTAGGCAAGTTGGTCACACTGAGTGTTGAAGTGAGTTGCGTATGCGAGACTACAAGCAATGACCTTCACATGGTTCTTGAATTAACTGCGCCCGGCTTGTCCTCTCGCCATTGACTACACAAATCCGGAGACCTTGATGCCGCATGCTCTGGGCAAGATAATGTGGGTATCGTACACAGGTATAAGACGGAGTCATCGTTGGTTGCTTGGATTCCGTGAACAGCCGTTTTTGCGCAGCTGGTTTGACGATATTGACCAAGGTTGATACACGAAGTAGTAAAGTACGCTGGTTTGTGTGTACTTTCCGCTTACGCTCCCACTGACTTCAGTTTTGGTGGTATCAAAGATACATTAAAGAAATAAAAGGTACATTCCTCGGCGACGCGCGACGCAGTCCAACTATATAGTCTGATCATCACGAACTGAACACACCAATACGCATGGCTGCCAGTTCACATATCATAGTACTTGCAAGGGATATGAATGCACAACTAGGTTGCCTGCACTTTTCAGAAGCGCAGTAATGTATTATTTATGGTCTTAACTTCAACCTTGCGGAAAACGTGAGCGTCCTTTGCAACTATTTGCGGAGCACCAGCTGTTTCTTCTTAGCATTTGTTTTAGCCACAGTAAGCACAAGAGTGCAACTTATATTCCACCTGTAGCTGACCAGCGATGGACCCAAACAGCTTACGTTGCTATAGATAGCAGATAGCGTGGCTCCATCCTGGGAATTCGCTCGTCCTAGAGTACTTGCGTTCAGACCAAACATGCCTTGATACACTGTGTTTTTCCATAAACTTACGGGGAGGCGTATCAAGTGTCCTCTCTCGATTGGCACTTGGGAATTTATCTCATCCCTCAGTCAGACATGCCTATCAGGATGCACTGCGTACCGAACTTCCACTGTCTTGACCTAATATCATGGTGCCTCAGTGGAACAGGATCTCGACCACCATGCACAACGCAGGAGCATCTGCGTGTGGTATTATCAATCGTCACCGCACCACTCACTGGATATCTGAAAGGTCGGTGAACTTTTTGGAATCCAGAAAAAACCTCCCGGCTGGCTCTGAACATAATGTGACCAGACGGGCTGCTAGGCGCGAACTAAGCGGAGCCTGTGCGTTGAAATGAAAGCCTAGTGGACCAGGCGGGCTCAACAAATGGAAGAGGTGTGAGCAGTGGGGAACTACCGCAAGCTCTTCCATCCAATCCGCACCGCCGGTGACAGGTGACCGGACGTCAGTGAGAAAATCAGAGACAGCGCGAGTGCTCTGATTCACAAGCCGAAGCGTCATATGGCTCGTTAGAAAGAACAAATTCCAGATAAATTTGGCTTAGCCCTTGCTTCCGAACTTCTTCCTACTCAGGCAATGCAGGCTGAGCCATGGCCGGTTAGTTTAGAGACTCCAGCGGTGGTTGAAGTTCAAAACGCCATCACAGTCCTCAACCGTTTACGTGCAGCAGACCCGGTTTCTCTCAAACCTGCACTATTAGGAATGGAGTTGAAGTCCTCTGCAAAGTACTGACCACCCTATTCAAACATATATGGAGGAAGGAGACTGTCCCTGCTAACTGCAGTGAATCGATTATAATGTTAGTATACAAGAAGCGCAGTCGCACTGCGGGTGCTCACTACAGGCATATTAGGCTAACGCCCGTATTGACAGGATTACTGGCTCTAGTTCTCGTCCCTCTCCTCACTGCGGAACGGCAATCGCAGAGCAGAGAAGAACAGGTAGGTTTCCGCCCAGGACGGGACTGTATAGAGCACATATTCACTTTGCGGCATTTGCTAGAGTAGCGCCTCGCATAACATAGTCCGGAAACAGCTGTGTTCCTCGCTTGCAAGAGTGCGTTCGATTCGGTCGATCGATGCATTCTGTTGGAATTATTTGCGCGGGAAGATGTTTCCATTAAATCTATGAACCTTTGATATGCTCTTTGTTCGAACACCACAGGCCGCGTCAGGCCCTACCGTGACCCGTCGTATAGCTTTCCGACAACAAGTGGAATTCGTCAGGGTTGTCCGATCTCCCCGTTTTATTCAATTTCGTCGTGGACTTCATCATGGACTGTTTCTTTACGGAATCTCACGATGCAGGCATTGAGGTGCTGCGTTGAGAGAAGCTAGTGGATCTTGATTATGCGGACAGCATTGTTCTGCTTTTTAACAATGCTGAGGGGCACAAGCCAACCTGATTGACTACTTTAGAGTGGTCCCAATATTTGATATGCGCTCCGCATCTTCGAAACGCAAACCGTTGCCGCAAGAACACTATCCACTTGATGACGTCCTGGACACTTCATAACCAGGAATTCACGGTCGTTACTCAATTTACTTACCTTGGCAGCTGCGTCAACACCGATGAGTGTAGAGCTAATGAGGTCAGTTCAAGTATTGAAAATGCCGAAAGCGCTCTTTTGAATCTGCGACATCTTTGACGGCAGAATGTGTTTCCTCTCCGTTCGAAAGGTTGTGTCCCCAAGGCCACCTTGGCTATCATCCTGCTTTAGGGAAGTTAAATTAGCCTATTCCTTCTGAAGATCTGAGACTGTTTCAAGTCTTTGATCCTCGCTCTCTGCGCTGCATTTGTGGTATCTGGTGACACCAGCACGTCCGCAACGATAGTGTCCTTAGGCAAATTCTAGGCAATGATACCCAAGCTAGTCTTTTAAAATCAGATAGCACTGAGTAAGTTGCGTTGGCTTAGGCACGCGCTACGTGCGGTTGGTCACCGCTTACCGAGGAGAGTCTTGCTTTGTACACCAGATGTAGGGTGGCGCAAGGTTTGCGGTGGACAAAATTAACTTGGCAGTGGGAAGTGGTCAATGATTACAAAACTGAGCATCATACTTCCAACTCGCCTTCCAAACCGGAGTCCACATGACACGCCGTGTGTTTGGCTTAATTCGATATAGGACATTGCCCGCATTTGGTCTCATTGGCGAGTCCACAATGGTCTCCTCAACGGACTGTCTGTTTAACGTGTGTTTAGTGCTGAGGAATCTGCGAGGTAATGGCTGATCATGACGTGGAACAGTGAAAACTGCAAGGAAGCTGCGTTGCAGATGACGCCTTATCTTCGCATGAGATCCAGCTACTAATGACGTTATGTGGTTGACACAATTTGTATATACCTTGAAAATGAATGTTTACTAAGGCATTATGGTTTGATGGCAAGCAACTCATATGTCGCTATTAATGTTCCACGTTCCGTAGATCCTTATTATGTATAGCAGCGAAGCATCAGTTTAACTGATTGACGTAGTGCTGCTGAAATGAAGATTATATGATGCAGAGCATACGGACGATGAAAATGAGGATGATGCTGAAGACCGATGATAACGCTGCTGATGAGGAGGATGATGATGATGATGATGATGATGATGATGATGATGATGATGATGATGATGATGATGATGATGATGATGATGATGATGATGATGATGATGATGATGATGATGATGATGATGATGATGATGATGATGATGATGATGATGATGATGATGATGATGATGATGATGATGATGATGATGATGATGATGATGATGATGATGATGATGATGATGATGATGATGATGATGATGATGATGATGATGATGATGATGATGATGATGATGATGATGATGATGATGATGATGATGATGATGATGATGATGATGATGATGATGATGATGATGATGATGATGATGATGATGATGATGATGATGATGATGATGATGATGAGAACTGAGAACTGAGAACTGGTGCGAAGCAGCGAGTAGAGGTTGCTCTGTGTAGCTGCATCAATTGTCGTTTTCGGACATGAACTTTTTATTTATCGTTTCGCTCTTTGTACTTTGCCTCTGCAAATTGTTGGTCTAGTAGCATCTTGAATTTAGACACGGTGCTCGCTTCTACTATATGCTGAGGCAGGTCGTTCCAGACATTCACCACTCTGCGTTCGAAACAGAGTTGATGGGCGACCCGCTTCAAATCCGGGACGATAAGTTTATACCGGTGTCCTCGCGTGCAGCTTGGTGTGCGCAGATGAAGTAGTTGTCTCAACATGGGGTAATCACCCAGATGTAATATCCGGTGCGTCATGATGAGGTCAACTCTCAGCCGACGATAAGATAGGGTGTATAACCCTAGTTTCTTACATCGGTCTTCGTATGGCATACCTCGTAAGTTGGGAATCAGCCTGGTGGCTACATGCTGCACCCGCTCAAGCTTTTCTATAAGAAGAGAGAGTGGCAATCTCTTCGGACCAAGTGCTAAAGCTGCGCCTGAGAGCCCAAAGCATACGAAGGCTGTTTTGGTACAGCCTATTCGTGTTGTCAATGGACTTTAGGTCGCAGCGTGAGAGTACACCGAGGTCGCGCACGAAAGGAGCGGGATGCAACGGTTGACCAGCCACTGTGTATTGTCGCTGAGGCACATCGTTTATATGGATTAGAAACAATATCGGGCCCAGTACAGTGCCTTGGGGCACGCCGCTGCTCGATGGATACCACTCAGTTAGATGGTTGTCCACCTGGACTCTCCACTTCCGATCAATAAGGAAATTGCTGATCCATTTGTGCAGCGAACCACCAACACCGCACATCCTCAGTCTGTCAAGGAGCACTGCATGGTTAACCTTGTCAAAAGCCTTACTGAAGTCAATGTAAATGACGTCAACCGATTGGCCTTTGTTCAGCGCTTGTAACCATTCATGCCTCGTCAACAGTAGGTTGGTGATGCACGAACGACCTTTCAGGAAACCATGCTGTGCGGAGGTTAACAGGTTTTTCGACTAGAGAAGTTGCAGAAGGCTCTTCTTCACGATCTTCTCGAGCGTCTTTGCTTGATAGGCTTTACGACTGAGCATTTCCAGTCGTTCGGTAGTAGACCAGTGGATAGTGACCTGTTAAACAGTTCAGTTACAGAAGGTGCAATTATGGTCGATAATGACTTGAGGATTAGTGGGTGTATACCATCTGGCCCAGCAGGTTTCGTCCCGTCAAGATTTGCTAGAATATTGCGTACATCCTCAATATTGCAGTCTAGGCTGTTAAGTTGGCGTGAACTCATTACAGCATGCTGAGCACGATCTGTACTTGAGGTAGAGGCTGTCCTTCTGAGCCTTCTAACACTGGGATATTAGCTATAGGCCTTAGGCGCCGCTTCACATATGCGAAGATCCCTTGGGAGCAGTTTTTGCGGCAGTTGCAAGCTCCTCTTCGAAGCTTCTGCGTTTGCTTGTTTTCGCCTTGTTGCAGGGATTTCGTTGTACCTTGTAGGCATTGTAGTCCTCATCAGAGCCAGATAGCACGAACTTGTTCCATAGTCTACGTCGCCGTTGGGCCATTTTGTTGTACTCTTTGTCAAACCAATGTGGTTTGACTTGCCCAACTTTCCGAAATTTGAGGGGCACAAATCGGGCGCACAACGATTTCACTCCCTCTTTAATGATAGCCCAACAGGTTTCAATAGATGAATCCTGTGGTAAAGACCAGTCTATCTGGCTCGCATGATGAAGATGATACTGATTACAAGCAGCAAGTATCTTTTGCTCCAGGTAGCTGCATCAGTGGTTGCTTATAGACAAACGCCCGTTATATTGTGTACCGCTCAATATATTTTGCGTTGGCAATGTATTCGTCAAGTAAATTCTTAACTTCTGACACCGACTTTTCCTTAACTAGGTGCTGCGGCAGGTCGTTCTATACATTCACCACTCTGCGTTCGAACCATAGTTGTTGAGCTACCCGCTTCAATCCGGTACGACAAGCTTATACCGGTGTCCTCTTGTGCCGCTTGGTGTGCGAAGATGAAGCAGCGGTCCCCGCATTGGGTAATCACCCAGAGGCAATATCCAGTGAGTCATGATAAGTTCAACCTTCATTCGACGATAAGCGAGGGTGTACAGCCCTAATTTCTTACACCGATCGTCGTAAGTTACAAGTCGTATGTTAGGAATCAGCCTGGTGGCTACATGGTGCACTAGCTCAAGCTTTTCTACTTCGCCCCGGGTAATAGGACAACACGCGGGAGAGCCGTAATCGGGCATGGGTCGTTTTATTGAGACGAAGAGGCGAGTGTTAATCACTTCGGACCAACAGCTGGAGCTGCACCTGAGCGCCTAAGGCATACGAAGGCGGTTTTAGTTATGCCTATTCGTGTCGTCCACGGATAGAGGTCGTATCGGGAAGTTACACCGTAGTCTCGCACGATAAGCGTAGGATGCCACAGTTGACTGGCCAACGTGTAGGTTAGACTGTGCTGAAACTTACCCAGTCTCACAAATTACGACTTGACTGGGTTGATCGGAATGTTTACCTCTGCAGACAACATGATAACGCGGTCGAGGTCGTGTTGAAACAGGTCTCAGTCAATGGGTGTGCGCATTACTATCCACACCTTCAAGGCATCTGCGAACAACGCACAAGGTGATTGGAGTAGCTGAGGCACATCGTTTACATGGACCAGAAACAAAATCGGCCCCAATACAGAGCCTTGGATCACACCATTGCTCAATGGAAAACAGTCGGTCAAGTGGTTGCCGACCTGGACCCTCCAATTTCGATCGACTAGGCAATTTTTGATCCATCTGTGCAGCGATCCGCCAACACCGCACACGCTCATCCAGTCGAGGAGCACTGTAAGATTTACCTTGTCAAAAGCCTTACTGAAGTCAATGTAAATGACGTCGACTCATTTGCCTTGGTTCAGCACTTGCAAGCATTCGTGCCCCGTCAAAAGTAGGTTTGTGATGCATGAGCGACCTTTCACGAAACCATGCTGTGCAGGCCTCAAGACCCCTTCCGACTCGAGAAGCTGCAGAAGACTCTTCGCGATCTTCCCGAGCGTTGTTGCCAAAACAGCGGTCGGCCAGATCGGCCGGTAGCTTATCCCTTTCCTTGGAGCACCACCTTGAGTCCTTGGCTTTACAACTGAGCATTTCTAGTCGCCCGGTAATAGTCCAGTAGATAGTGACCTTTTAGAAAGCTCGGTTACAGAAGACGAGATAATGGTCGATAAGGACTTGAAAATCAGTGGGTGCATTCCATCTGGCCCGGCAAGCTTCGTCCCGTCAAGACTTGCCAGAACCTTGTGTACATCTTCAATGCAGCAATCCAGGCTGTCTAGATAAGCGAGAGCGGTACCCATCAAACTCATTGCAGAGATCTGGTCACTTGCAAATACGGAAGAGAAGGGCACAGCCAATGCGGACGCGCGATCTTTGCTCGAGGTTACGGGCCGTCCATCCGAGCCTTCCAACACTGGCCTACTGCCTGCATACTTCAGGTGCCGCTTCACGTAGGCGAAGATCCACTTGGGAACAGTTTGTGCGGCGGTTGCATGCTGCACTTCGAAACTTCTGTGCCTTTTGGTTTACGCATTGTTGCTGAGGTTTCGCTGTAAAATGTAGGCCTTGTAATCCTCATTAGCGCCAGATAACACGAATTTGTTCCTTAGCCTGCGTCGTCGTCGGGTCAGTTTGCTGTAGTTCTTGTCGAACCAGTGTGGCATGACTGGCCCAAATTCGGGATGCTTATGGTGTACAAATCGGTTGCACAACCATTTCACCCCCTCCCTAATTATGCCTCTCTAATCTGCAGAACGTAACAGCCACCTTATCCTAAGCATTTGAACTACCTTAATTATTGGACTATCCGAACAAAAGTCACCGAATAAAAACCCATCTCTAGATACGCTGTCGAATCCAATACGTGTAATTTTCACAATTGTTGCTTCGTGGGAACTGGCAGAAAAAGGACACGTGAGTTTCAAGAGGATCTCGGTCCCCCGCTTGTTTCAAATTTGATTATACTTGGGTTTGTTGCTCACTGCATTTCCGGTTGACAAACTTCTCCGACCCATGGAGCAACGGCCGGGATGCACTTTTAGGTTGCGCTGGTCAAGCCGTTTGAGCTGCCTCAGTTGTCTGCTCCCGTCAGCGGGTTTGGTGGTGGTTAGTCACTAGGTGCATGAGTAGCCAAAATCACACAGGCATCGTGCAGTGAAATGCACGTAAAAATATAGTGGTAACGTGAGATGACAAAAATGCCTGTACCTATGGTATACAATGGTGCAGTATTAAGTTATATTTTGTCTGACAGCCTTAAAGGTACTGATAACACTCAAATAAACAGCTATTCACGTTGGCCTTGGTGAAAAGACTGTCGAAGACTTCGTTCGTGGTGTACCAGTGTGTCATTGGACTTATTTCAAAAATGTAGACCCCGTTGGATATAGCTCGGTGACCGGATGAGTTGGCACAAGAATGTTAGGGGATAAGGCCAACTTACCACAGAGCACAGGATTGCATGATTAGCACACGCACGCTGACAAGGTCATGACCGGTGTTGCTATGTGTGCCAACCATACGCACGCATTAGTTACGTTGAGCCACGTATGCTGTCAAAGCTTTTGAGTTGGAAGCTTTTATCCTTAACGCGCTATGTCCCATCAATTAGTACCATAAATATTCCAATCCTCAAAAGATCATCGGCCTGATAAGAAGATGGAAAATTTTGCGGTTCTCTTGCTTTCTCTACTGGTGACATAAGAGTTTGTAAGGAGAGTTCCCAGTTACGCTTGGGGTACATTCAGTCATGAATGCCCAGCTGGCCTATTCAAAGAATGCGTAAACTTGCGGTAGTACCTAATGTACTGCTTCCGGCTCTGCACCAGAGTAATCGACCTAGTAAATGTAATCAAACAGCAGGGTCAAGTAATAGGTTCGACCCAAAGGATTGCACACGTTTGCCATCAGCTATGAGCTCCTCAATGATAATCACTAATTCCAACCTCGACGGGTTAATTGATGTTCTGAACATGGTTGGGGCAGTGATGTGGTTGTACAGGTTGGGTTAGGGATTAGATTCTACATATAGGCTGGAGTTTCCATATCATGAATGCTTGTAATGAGGATATGATTATATGACTGATTCAACACCATACGCAAAGTTAATCTTTGTTTGTCGTCTAGTTCCGGAGTGGATTCGCGCGGTCGTCGTCCTCCTTTATTCATAGCCCGCACTAAGGGAACTCAGTGACACGCGTTTGTGGACCGTTCATGAATTCACAATGGAATTATTTTGTAATAAATGATCATTCACCTTGCTGGCTAGGAGACTTAATATATATGATCCTGCCTTGTAATATGAGGGCAGAGGTTCAACTACGCGTAGGGACGACGCGACCCTCCCGGTATATTTTATCTGCATCGTGATTGCATGGCAGCGAGGCCTGAGCACTGCGTACTGCTGATGCACCATCTCCTACCCATTCGTTTGTTTTGGATAGGTGACATGCCGAGTAGAGTGATCTCAACGTTTTTTATCCCACAGCTTTGTCAATACTTAGTGACCAATTGTATATATTGATGCTCTGAAGCCTGACGATGACGAAGTTCGATCAAATTACCTCAGTGTACTTTCTGCAACTGGAAGTGCGTTAGTGTATGTTTAATCAAGATTGACACTTAAGCCAAATGTTGGTACCTCGGCCATAAAACATTTTCAGGAGTTGTTAACCCTTGAGGTTTGTTACGTCATACGGCTGCTCTTATTTGTTCTCGCCTTGATGGACTCCTGTAGTTAGACATATTTCATCAAATGCTGACGATAAAACTAGGGTAATTCTTCCACAAAACGGAATGAGGAAGATTCATTAATTTGGTTATCCTCAGTGAGTCGCCAACAACTTGCGGACGTGTTCCTGCTGTCAGCAACCAAATTCCGTAACCACCAACGTACGGAATTTAGAGAAGTTTTCCCGGAAGAATAGTGTCATTAGATCAAACTGTTACACCACATTCATCAGCCCTAAAAGTTTCCACTTTTAGATGGCGGAACTGTAATGTTTCTCAAATGTTTAACAATGTTATTGTCGAAGGCTAATGCTTGGTGGGTGTATCATCATTACTTGAGATGATGTAAGTACTCCGAGGAAGAGGTTTGAAGCACAGGACGTTCCTAAACAATAATCGTCCGTTGGAAGATTTAAGCACTCACTACGCTATTGAATTTCTCTTCTACACCATCTTTTCAAGTGATATATTGCAGCATGCACATCTTATAAGTTTAGCTAGTGCGCCTAATGAAAGAAGCTAAAACGTTCTTTGTAGACAGCGCAATTTATTGTTATACGAAATAGTCGAGGTCTACCGTAATGCACCCAAATTTTAGTGGTGTGAGTCTAGTCTCAGCATTGCAGGCTCAACCAAAATGCCAATTATACAACAGGTGGAATTTAATTGGTCTCCATAGCCTAGCAGCGTCAAGTTTATTGTACTAGAATGTGATTCCTGTGCACTGAATGTTAAGGCATCGTCATTTCATTGTTGGCTGTCGAGTTGAGTGCATTGATACCGTTTTTCACGGTTTCGCGGACTGCAGCAGCTGTGACCTCATGGTGCTGATTCGTACGGTTACACGAATCAGAGGTTCTTTCTCTGGCGCTTGCATGCAGACAACCGATGTGTACGATGCGCAGCTTTTACCCATGGTTGGCTGCATCTGACCTGTAGCTGCCATCATTGCCATTAACCAATGTTTCAGCTGTGCATCCCACGGCACAGCTGAAACTTGTGGAGGCAGGCACGCTCGATTCGTGTCCGCCAGTATATTGGAGGAGTGATAAAAATACAACTACACATGTGTAAGAGTTCAAAGTTTTAGACTTCCTTTTGTTTTGCTAATTCACTGTTTGTTTCAACATCTCGCCAGAACTATTGGCCATTTACGGTCGTTGCTTCTCGATGCGGATCAAAGCTCCACCCTGACGCTAACACTGCCACTCTCCGTTTTGCGTGTTCATCTGCCTGATTATTTGTTTCTTTCGGTCCTTTTTGGTTTTGTCTGTCCGTATATTTTTAGCACCCTGGTCAGCGTTCACATTTGCACGTCAAGCCATTTACGATATCGTTTCTCTATAAAGGAATCCGGAATCTACTTGCTGTTTATTTGCGTTCTCTCTGCCGTTAGTAGTTTAATCAGCCGGGGGTCGAACATAACCCTATGTGAGTGAAAGGAACCAGACGATTTGCATGCACAGGCGCTGTAATGCGGTTGGCCCGTCCACTTCTCTTTCTCAGCTTATAAGCGGATAACGAAGTGGCTACCTCAGGTACTTGCGAGTCCAGTTTTGCTTCTGAAGTTGAAATCCTGATATGCACCAAATACCCCATCATCTCAGTCAGCATGTTGCACTTCTTCACGAACCTAACTAAACAGCTGACAACTGGAATGGTTCAGCATGTTGAACACACTAAAGGACGAGGGCCACTTAGTTGCGCTGTCTTTTTGAAACCAAGTATATTACACATTTAGACTGCGCGATCTAAAGCGATTTGAACATTCTATTCCTATCCTAAGGACTTTACTACGCAGCTCTGTAGAGCACACGCCGCGTTGCGTCATGTTTAGAATGATGGCTTTACTTTTCTGATCAAGTGCTGATTGTCTGTGTCACTGACTTATCCGGAGGTCAGTACTGAGGCAAAGCTTAGTAGGGTTCATAACTTGGTCTCCTACACCCGCGTTCATCTATGGAGGAAGATTGATTGTCTACTCTATCGATGTGGGGTTGGCACGCTAGTGCGGAAACCCGAGGTTCGATGTGTACGAGCTGGATGTTAACGACAGGTCAACAATGGATCATAAACTGTTCCATAGCTTGTTTGAAAACACGGTATGTGAGCAAGACCGGCTTAATGAACGACTCAGAGACAGCTCTATAGCACACACTTGATTACTTAGCCCAAAGGCGATCAAGTCTTACTTACGAGTTTGAATATGACAACTGTAAAAACGGCTAGACTTGTTGGAATCGTGATACGTGAGAAATACTTTTGGGCAAGATGGTTTGGAAGTTAGATTAGACTTGTGCGATCCGATTACATGTAAGCTGGATGTGTTGTCGAAAGATAAAAGTAGGGAAGTATGCGGGACCGAAGGGCTCAGCAACGGTGCGGCCTAGTGGCACGAGTCAATTAGTTCAGCTACTTTACCGTGCAATCTATTTCCGATTGGCTGGGTGCATTAATTCATGGTCTGGAAGTTGGAGCTCGCTTTCAAATTGCCGGATGCGATCACAAGACAACTGGCTGAGTTTGCTTAATGCCTTCATTAAACAACTGCAATAAGTAATGTGTAGGAAGCTCCACCTATGTTATTATCGTTTATAGACGATCTTGTTAACCAGCATTTCAATCTTCTTCAAACTGCATGGTGTTTGTCTGCATCAACGCATAGCCTGCCCCACTTTTTCTTTCAAAACCCTTGGCTTAAAGGTTCAAAAGCACTCGAGGTTTAGCTCGTTGTAACTTGAATTAAGGGAAAGATGTTGAAATGTCGTATAATATAGTGGATGTGTTATTCCACTAACCACGCCGTTCTTTGAAGGTTCTTGTTCCACATGTTACCCAGGGATGAAATGTTGAGGACTACAGTGTAAAGTGTTTTCTTCCAAAGCAAGACCGTCGCTTAGGTCATATGTTTTAAACAATGTATTGAGTAGTGTTAATATACGAGAAAAACGTGCCCCCTGCTAGTGGGCGAACAGGCTGAACGCTAAGCTGAACCGAATAATTATTATTATAGTATTACAGAAAATCACACGTTTGTAAATAATGTCAAAAAATCATGAAATAAAAGACGCCGAAATGAGGGATATCAATGTACACAATTGATGGATGAGCATATAATCAAATTTCAAGCGGTTGTTGCGTCGTTGAAACTTGTTAATGACGGATGAGTCAGCTGGTCGCTTCCTTATTCACATCGTTTTGGGAAGTTTGCTGCAAGATAAAACACGTGTGAGATGTTTTCTAGTCTACAAAGTTGCTGGTTTGACGTACAGTCGCGTACGATACATAGTTTGGAACTAAACGTTTCAACCCCTGTATCTCATGAATATCCAATCGTGCATGCTAGAAATTTTAATTCATTCACCACAGCATCCATTTTTACTGGCTAGTAATTAAACAGGTAGGTCACAAACAAATAAAATTAATGGGTACTTTGTGCTTATCAACTTTGAAAACCGTGGCACCTAGAGCTGATATTAGTCATATCCAGTTTGCGTACCTTATCGTAAAGTCCTGGACTTATTTAATGTCTGTGAGATAAGGTAGTAACCGAAACATCCGCTTTACTTTTCCTATTTTCTCTAAATGCCGACGGTTTCACCATAGCTGGTCTCCACACACACAGATGTACGATACCATCCCAAATTTGCTGGTTATTCAGACGGACTTCTGCGTAGTTTATAACAGTCCATGCTTGGAATTAAACCATTTCATGAGGCACTCATCAGATATCTAGGCGAAATAATCCCTAGAAAATGAGCCACTAACACTACATCAGTGCTAGATAAATCCAATGCAAAAGGAGGCGAAAGTGTATTTGACAGTACATAATGGTAAAAAAGTGATTTAACCAACCAAAGTAGAAGTAGCAATCTACTTGATTGATAATGTTTCCGTGTTGGCTCATATACTACGGAAAAACAAAAAAGCCTGCGCATGGTTGGGGTAGTATGGTTGGCGGCATCCGGTTTCGGATTTGCCTGTCACTGTGGCAAGCCACAGGACGCCTGCGCCTACAGAGGGACCATGGATGGCTTGCGCTGCACCACCCACAGCTCCAACCACATACCCCATATCCAGTGTAAACCCGAAGGAATAAGACCGGGAGGCATGCGGATGGGAACCACGTTTCATCAACGGAGCCGGCCCACACTCCTTCACAGGCAAACACAAGCACGCTGTATTTAGGGAATCAACCGCACACAAGGCGGTGGCTGGACCGTAGTCCGCTCCACACTGAGTGCATGGAACCGCTCTTTGAGCCTAGCACGGCCACAAGAACCGTGCACCCCGTCCCCTCCAGCAACGACCAACTGTCTCCTGGAGCGAGTATGGACGAAGTAGTGGGTAATAGACAGGTAGGCACCTTGTCAACATACACATCAAGCGAAACCATATCAGGGATATCAAACAACAGCCGTTCACTTTAAACGACAAGCTGAAATAAAATAAATCCAATAATGCATACAGATACGGTGGAATAACTCTTCGCTAAATTACCATATGAAGTAAGTTGGTTAGCAACAAATCCGTGATAAGTAAGAAATGTCCACAAGTTACTTAAAATACTACAAACGCAACAAAATTACCGAAGATAAGCGCAATTAGTGTAAGCAACGTGGCAAGTTAATAGAACATTATTCAGGGAGGCAGAACATACCAAATAAAGCGGAATGAAATTTAGCCAGCTTAAAAAGACCTAGTTTAAGTGTAAGTTGGTTTAGCCCAACTGCGGTGAAGAAGCATCAAGAATGC